AGTGATAAATTGTTTCCACTTTCGATGTGGGACATTCTAAAGTATTTCTCCATTTTTCTGCTACCGGGAGGATAATGGATTTCACCCTTATGTGGTTGCAGATTTGAAGAGATGCCAACAAACAACTATGTGGAGAGAGCAGGTATTGTATCAATTAGATGTGTATTGATAGCATATCTGTCAACCTTTTTCACAGTCCATCTAGTTATTCAGAAATCATGTTTGGTCATCTTAATGCTCTTTTCTCTTCTTTTGTTGCTCTTAAACTTTTTTCCTCTGCCTTGTAGCTTCTGGAATTTCGATGCACTGTTCCAGCCTCAGCATCACCCTGCTCGTGACGCTCATGACACCTTCTATCTAAAAGGTTCAAATGCTTGAATCCTCTGTCTCATCTGCTTTATGACAATCTCTTACGATGTGAATGTTTGATTGTAGTTCCTTCGACGACAAGAAGATTATGTTGAGAGGGTGAAGCAAGTTCATGAGTCGGGTGGATATGGATCGAGAGGGTAACAACTTGTGTTTTTGATGCATCCTCCTACCTCTTATTTTGCAATCTCTCTTAATGTTCTTTTTCCATTGTACAGGTATAACTATGAATGGAAAAGAGAGGAAGCAAACAAAAATCTTCTCCGAACCCACACAACCGCGGTCTCAGCTAGGATGCTTTACTCACTCGCAGAGGGGCCTTCCAATTCTCAATCCCTTCAATTCTCTAAGTGATTCTTGTTTGTTTTGGGAGTCAAGGTTTTGTTTGTGTTTGTTGTGCATTATACATATATGTTGCTCTACTAAAGCATCATTTCATGTCTTTGGTGTAGAAACCTTTCACTCCCAAGAAGTACTTTTAGATAGACCGCGTGTTCAGAAACGACGCTGTTGACCGAACCCATCTCGCAGAGTTCCATCAGACTGAAGGTAATTGCACCACACAGTTGGGGAATTTCATAGTTAGAATCATGATAATGCATCAAAAATTTTCATTTTCCTACAAAGTTTAATTTCTTCTCTTTTGCTCAGGTTTGATATGTGATAGTGGTCTTGCAATGGATGATCTCATGAGTGTATTACAGGACTTCTTCTCACGCTTAGGTAAATGCTTTATTACTTAATCCTGTCCGCTCCTATTCTGATGCTTCAAAGTCGCGTAAGAGGAAACAAAAGGGCTAATGCAATTATGCTTTCACAGGGATGTCCGAGCTGAAATTCAAGCATGCCTACAACCCCTACACCGAACCAAGCATGGAGATTTTCAGGTAAACTTGATCAGAAGATTCATCATTTCTAAATATGCAAAACAGAAAACAACAGACACTAAAGATATTGTGTCTGCTCTGCTTTTACCAGCTACCATAAAGGACTAAGGAAATGGGTAGAGATTCTGGCGTGTTCAGACCCGAAATGCTGCGAACAGTGGGTTTCCCAAAGGATGTTAGAGCCATTGCATGAGCCCTTTCTCTTGAAAGGTACAATATAAGATACTTAATAGACTTTTAGGGACATATTTAGATTACAAACGAAATTGCTGATTCTTTTCTGATTTTGGTTTCATAATTAACAGACCGACAATGATCTTATACGGCATTGACAACATCCGCGATCTGTTTGGACACAAGGTACAATATCTTACTTCTTGTTGATGCTAAATCATCTTTCGAAGTATAGTGTCTCATCGAGTTATTGTTCTTCGTTTACACAGGTCGATCTTGATCTCATTAAACGAAATCCGATCTGTCGTATTGGAATCGAGTGAGAATGGATTTGGTTTCTGCATTTTGCTGCTGGGACCAATCTTCTCTGCAAGACGAGCAAAATGCTATACACGGTCTATGAACCTGCATTTTTGGCTCATAAGTCATAAGTCATATCAATTGAAGATCATATTAACTTGTTTTTATAAGACATTATAGAATGAACAATCTTGTTTTATTACCTATTAAGGCGACTACTAATTCACACATTCTTTCTTTCGGTTATAACTATGAGGTCATGTACATGGCTGTGTACAGTGTTTTCATGTCACGAACTATTCATTATGCTAATTCTCTAATCCTTCCTCTTCCTCTGGAGAGTCGGAGGAAGCAATCTCTTCATCGGATGTTGTCTCATCCGACAGCTGAGAATCCTCAGAGTCAAGACCAGCTTCGAA